TATCATCAAAGATGAGCTTGTGGGGCCTTTTCGGGTTGAGGATGGAGTCAAGCTCAACTCCCAGTCCTACTGCCAGTTCCTGGAAGACACCTTCTTCAAGCAGTGGTACAGGAAGAAGTCTGCATCCTTCAAGAAAAACATGATTTTCATGCAGGACAATGCTCCATCACACGCGTCCAAGTACTCCACAGCGTGGCTGGCAAGAAAGGGTATAAAAGAAGAAAATCTAATGACATGGCCTCCTTGTTCACCTGATCTGAACCCCATTGAGAACCTGTGGTCCATCATCAAATGTGAGATTTACAAGGAGGGAAAACAGTACACCTCTCTGAACAGTGTCTGGGAGGCTGTGGTTGCTGCTGCACGCAATGTTGATGGTGAACAGATCAAAACACTGACAGAATGCATGGATGGCAGGCTTTTGAGTGTCCTTGCAAAGAAAGGTGGCTATATTGGTCACTGATTTGTTTTGTTTTTGAATGTCAGAAATGTATATTTGTGAATGTTGAGATGTTATATTGGTTTCACTGGTAATAATAAATAATTGAAATGGGTATATATTTGTTTTTTGTTAAGTTGCCTAATAATTATGCACAGTAATAGTCACCTGCACACACAGATATCCCCCTAACATAGCTATAACTAAAAACAAACTAAAAACTACTTCCAAAAATATTCAGCTTTGATATTAATGAGTTTTTTGGGTTCATTGAGAACATGGTTGTTGTTCAATAATAAAATTAATCCTCAAAAATACAACTTGCCTAATAATTCTGCACTCCCTGTACTGTTATCATTAGGAGGTTTGTTCAATAAAATTTGAATTTTACTCTTCATAGTTGATAACATGAGAATTATGATTATAATTACAACTGTTTTGACATCAATTATTTAGGTAAATGAGAAAAATATTATTTTGCATAATAATTTGGAACAGGGTGTACTTATCTCTTAGTAGTCTCCTCCCCCCTCCCTTCCCTGCCCCTTAGTGGTCCTCTCCCTTCCCTTAGTGTTTCTCTCCCCTCTTTGTCCTTTAGTGGTCTCCTCCCCCGTCTCTTAGTGGTCTCCTCAACTTGGCTCTTAGTAGTCTCCTCCCCCCAAGTTGTTTCCTCCCCCCCACCTGTCCCTTAGTGCTTCCCTGCACCTTAGTGTTCCTCTCCCCTCTTTGTCCTTTAGTGGTCTCCTCCCCCCCGTCTCTTAGTGGTCTCCTCCCCCCAAGTTGTTTCCTCTCCCCCCACCTGTCCCTTGGTGCTCCTCTCCCCTCCCTTCCCTACCCCTTGGTAGTCCTCTCCCCTCCCTTCGTGTTCCTCTCCCCTCTCTCTCCCTTAGTGGTCCTCTCCCCTTCATGTCTCTTACTGTTCCTCTTCCCTCCCCTTCATGCCCCCTCTCCCTTCCCTCCGTCCCTTAGTGCTCCTCTCCCTCCATGTCACTTAGTGTTCCTCTCCCTTCCCTGTCCCTTAGTGGTCCTCTCCCCTCCTTTCCCTGTCCCCTAGTGTTCCCCTCCCCTCTATGTCCCTTAGTGTTTCTCTCCCTCCCTGTCCCTTAGTGTTCCTCTCTCTTCCCCTCCCTGTTCTTTAGTGTTCCTCTCCCTAGACCCCCTCCCCCTTAGTGGTCCTCTTACCTCCCTTCCCTGGTGTGCTTCCTTACCTCTCTTTGTAGCATGACTGAGCGGACCACGGTATAGGAGCTTCTGTTTACTGTATCCTGTCAGTCTGGCCAGGTACAGAATTCAGAAGCTCCTGTACCGCTGCTCTGCTCGGCCATGCTACATTAAATGACTGGAAGGTGGGAGCGCTGCGCACCCCTACTACCAGTCATACTTATTAACCCTTAAAGGACCACTAGAGTGCCAGGAAAACATACTTGTTTCCCGGGCACAATAGTGCCCTGAGGGTGCCCCCACCCTCAGGGTCCCACTCCCGCCGGGCTGGATGGAGAGGAAGGGGTTAAACACTTACCTTTCTAAAGTGACGGGCTCCCTCGGTGCTGGAGACTCTCCTCCTCCTTTCCCCGTCATCGGCTGAATGTGCATGCGTGGCAAGAGCCGTGCGCGCATTCAGCCAGTCTCATAGGAAAGCATTCTCAATGCTTTCCTATGGACGCTGGCGTCCTCTCACTGTGAAAATCACAGTGAGAAGCGCCTCTAGCGGCTGTCGATGAGACAGCCACTAGAGGCTCGATTAACCCTAAAGTAAACATAGCAGTTTCTCTGAAACTGCTATGTTTACATCAGAAAGGGTTAATCCTAGATGGACCTGGCACCCACACCACTTCATTAAGCTGAAGTGGTCTGGGTGCCTATAGTAGTCCTTTAATAGGGAACACATGGGGTGGGCATTGTAACATAGCTGTGTGATACAAAAGTAAATACCAATACACAAAAATATGTTCTGAGCTCAAACTCCCACAAATCTTGGGCGGCAGCAACGACCATAGTACACATCAGCCCCAATACTTACAGTAAAAACCAAAGGAAAAAGTTACCTGCGCACTTTCCAAATTCCTATGCATATTTAAATAAACGGAGGTTATTTAGTAACTCCAATGGCCATTAGATGCAAACCCACCTTCCACGTCAGTGCCTGTGCCGCGCCTTCTCTGATTGAGGACTGAAGCGTCTACTGTGCATTCTAACAAAGTCTTATGAGTACACAGCTTCATACATCTTTAATGATAAATAAATAATATATATTCATAAGTGTGCTTGTACAACAAAATAAACACCTTTTTAATTATTTCTTATTGAAATGTGTTTGAACTGGTTTACAAATTAATCATAAGCTATATGTGAATATAGTTGTATAATATATATAATATACCATCCCTTATGTTAGATGTGCCAGGTAAATAAGTAGAATTATGATGAAAAGAGAATTTTCTCAAATCCATGTTCTAAAAATTAAGTAGAAGGTTTTATCTATTTCTTGAGTCATTTAAGTAAATATCAGTTTTTTTCCTTTTTTTTTTACAATTTATCATTAAAGAAACATTATAGCCACCAATCATTAAGCTAACTAATGTAAGCTTAATGAAGCAGTTTTGGTGTATAGATACTCACTGCTATTTTCATGCCACCCTAGTCACACCTCCCCTAGCTGTGACTGACACAGTCTGCATTAAAAAAATATGTTTTTTTACTTCTTACCTTACTTTAAAAGTTTTTATCGCCTGCTCTTTAAATTGAACTTTAATCACACAGAAGGGGCTCCTGTAAAGTCTAGCAAGGTATTAACATAGCAGGAGATACAAAATTCTAAATTAAACAAAATTTACAATACATGAAGTGTAAACATTAGATCTTTACTTTAAATGCCAGATATTTGAGCAGTGAGACTGCAGGGTCATGATCTATACACCAAAACTGCTTCATTAAGCTAAAGTTGTTTTGGTGACAATAGTGGATGTATAATGTATAACATTTTGTAAAGAATATAAGCAATACTTTAGAAGACTTAATTTACTAAGAGCAAACTGATTAAATGTTTGAGGTATCAGGCTGCATACGTGGTAGGTTTACCATCAAATGTTATTTATGTACCCCATGCCCGTATTTACCATCAAATAAGCAGATATGCTTGCCAATAATGTGACCATAATCAGTGGAAGGAAGAAAACACTTATCAACAAAAAAAAACAAAAGGGTTATAAATACAAAACCAGTAGAAATGTTTGATTCTTCCAGACAATATGAGACATAGTATTGAGAAACAGGCATTAGAATATTGCATAACCAGGGAAGGGCTGGCTACATTTATCTTCGAGTACAACTACAAACACATTGACCAATTTCAGGCCAAACCTGCATAATGTCTTCACACATTTAATTTCGATTCTTAATTTTACTGTACATGTTTTATACAAATGCTGCAAAAACTTTTTATAAATAATAAGACAATAGAGCATATAATATATTTACTTCTCTGCTGTGAGGTATAAGCCCATAGATCATACCACACTGCCCCCCTCCCGCTACTTTGCCAGCCCTCCCCTATGCATAATACATTGTATTAACACCATAAATATACTTACCTGTGTAGTATATTTAACCGAAGGTGAGCGTGCATTGCTGAATGTTATGATGTGTGTTACTTGTGTTAATGTTCAATCTGCATTGCAATGTGATCCCGCTAACCTTGTCAAATTCTCATTTCTACTGGCAACTCTGTAATGTTGAGTAGTGCAGGCAACATAATTTTAATTATTATTGATCTGTACTGACCCAGAATATTTCCAAGCATACGCATTGTTTAGTAATATATTTAATACATTTGCTTTGAAAATAATTTATGTCCAAGCTTTTGTCTTCCTATTTTCTGAAGATCACAGGTTAGGCCAAAAATCAATGTTTCACTCTGGCTTTAAAAACTAAGAATGAACACACCATATTGGAATTTCTACATGTATCCATTGTTTTTTGTTGTTGTTGTTTTTGTTTTTTTAACACTTAGTGTAGCTTTTAGTGTGAATTTGAATATCTTAATGGTTTAGGAACTAGAGAAGAAAAACTGAATATCTTCTTGAGTTTGTTTAGAACTTATCATGGATTTCAATCTAAGGAGGAAACAGCTCAAAGTATAGGAAACATAACTAAATATGTGATTGAATGTGTTTTCATTTTCAGTGCTGTTTTAACCACTTGTAAACACTTATTAACATTTTATGGACTTAAATATTGGAATATGATGTGATGTGAACTTTTTCTTTTAATTGGGTGTATATTTTGAGCTATGGTTCTTCCAGGAAAGATCTACCAGGTGCAGCTTGTTGATAAGACATTTACTATTTGTATCAAAGTTATTTTTTGGGCTTCCATTGACTCTTCTCCAATGGCAAACTTGCCATTGTGACACTACAGACACCAATTTTTCTGCATACTGGATAATTTTTTTTTGGCTAAAGTTTCGGAAACTTTCATATTGTCAAGGCTTATTTTCATTCAAGCTGACAATATAGCTGAGGATATAAGCACAATTATGCACCACAACTACTGTACATTCAGTGTACCGTATATACTCGAGTATAAGCCGACCCAAATATAAGCCGAGGCCCCTAATTTTACCACAAAAAACTGGGAAAACGTATTGACTCGAGTATAAGCCTAGGGTGGGAAATGCAGCAGCTACTGGTAAATTTCTAAATTAAATTAGATCCCAATAAAATTACATTAATTGAATATTTATTTACAGTGTGTGTATAGAATGAATGCAGAGTGTGTGTTTGTGTGTGTATATAATGAATGCAGAGTGTGTGTTTGTGTGTGTATATATAATGAATGCAGTGTGTGTGTTTGTGTGTTGTGTGTGTGTATATAATGCAGTGTGTATATAGTGCAGTGTGTGTGTTTGTGCAGAGGGTGTAAACTGGATGAGGGGAGGGCATTTTTATTTTAATTTTTAATTTTATTATATTATTTTAATATTATTATTATATTATTATATTATTATCATTTTAATATTATATTATTTTAATAATATTATTATTATTTTAATATTTGCATTATTGCCCCCCTCCCTGCTTGTTGCCTGGTCAGGGAGAGGGGACAAAAATTATTTTTCTTTTTTAAATAATGCAAATATTAAAATAATAATAATATAATAATAAAATAATATTAAAATAATATAATATTAAAATAATAATATTATTTTATTATTATTTTAATATTTGCATTATTTTTTTTAAAATGTTTTTTGTCCCCCCTTCCTGGCCAGGCAACAAGCAGGGAGGGGGGACCAAAAAACATTTTAAAAAAAATAATGCAAATATTAAAATAATAATAATATAATAATAAAATAATAGTAAAATAATATAATATTAAAATAATAATATTATTTTATTATTATATTATTATTATTTTAATATTTGCATCTTGCGAGACTTACACTGTGAGCAGAACGGAGCTGACCTAGGAGCTGCACGGAGGAGGAGGGAGCTGACAGGAGCTGCAGGAAGGTAAGTAAGAGCTCATTGTCAGCCCCCCAACAGGACCGCCGGGCTTGTAATAAGCCTGGTGGTCCTGGTCTGTATTATGGCAATGTAAATTGCCAAAATACAGACTGACTCGAGTATAAGCCGAGTTGGGGGTTTTCAGCACAAAAAATGTGCCGAAAAACTCGGCTTATACTCGAGTATATACAGTAAGTTGTTTTATAAGATTTTAGTTTCCCATTACAATGTGGCCATGATAAATGTACAGAGGTAACCATAAAACAAAAAACTCACTTAATCTGCTAGGCTTCATATATGTCTGGTGTCAGAGTGCAACATTGTAGTTTCGGTTAGTACTACTGTATACTTAGGACCTTGTGACCAAGTCAAAATATATTCCATGTGATAGATATTTCAGATTTACAAGAAACTTAAAATGCCCCAATGGTTCCTCCATAATTACTAAAATGTAGTATTTAAAATATTTAGTATATTTTCCTAAATAAAAATCTTGGAACCAAAATCCATAAATGTAATGTCGTCTCAGTGAGCATATTTCTAATATTCAAATAAAAAAATCAATAATGAATAAAGATTATCCGGTGAAATTATATATATATATATATATATATATCAGTACTGTTATCATTACCCAGATACCCAGAAAAGCTGTGATATTCAGACTGATGAATGAAAACAAAGATCTTCTTAGCCTTATCTTGTACCCATAAGTCGCAAAATCTCTGCCAAAATTCCATTGAGTCCTTTATTTTATTTATTTTTATTATACCAGTTAAGAGGCGTGAAAAATTGCCTTCAAAATTTGTTTTTGTTCGATTTTACACACATATAAACAACATGAAAGTCAGAGATAATTTTGATCTCTTAGTCTTTTTTTTTTCTTTAAACATTTGACTTAAAAAAAACACCCTGTTTCATAATGTAAAACGCCTGTGAATTACTTTCAATTAATATATATATCTACATATATACGTTATTTTCATTTAAAGTTTCTTGTCCCTTTAAAACTTTTATTTGTAAACAGCAGAGGAGGAATTATAGTAAACATTTTTTTTTGTAGTTTTCTTGTTCGTGAACACATTTGGAAAAAAATAAAACCCTAAAAAATTAACACATTAGGAAAAAAAGGTTATCACAGTTCTGGCTTTCTGTACACTAAAATTAGCTGCTCCTAATTCTCTCCTGGGAAATGATGTAACTTCCTGTATGAATGATTACCACTTCCTGATTTCCAAATACCTGCTTGGAAATATGATATAACTCTGTTGCCTTTAACAGCTTCCCCATTGTCATTCATTAGAAGTTAAGTTAAAAGTGCAGTTTCTCCAATACAATACACACATGCCTTATACAGCATGTTATGCTTTACCCCCTCTATAGTTTTTCTTCCTTAAGTTCACATACATTTTACACAGTGTTGAAAAACTAGAAAAAAATAATATAGGTCATTCATTTGGAGAAACAGTACCTCTATGTTAACTATTTGGTTTCAATGTAAATGATCTGCCGTTTTTTGTAAATATGATGAAGAGCTTACGAGAAACCCTCTAACGTGTGACTTAATGTGAGCCATGCTGAATTTATTTTTTGCCAATAAATTATTTGAACATTCCTTTTCTTTAAAGCCTCACTTAATACTGAAATATTTCAATGTACATATTTTTCGTCATCTGTAGATATTGAGATTTAGTTGATAATGTTGTGCAATTTCAGAAACAAAAAAAAGTCTTCTCCCAGGAATGGCCAATTTCATATCTTTTTTTTTTTTACATCTATGATTCTGAAAAAACACAATGCAAGTGTAGGCAAGTCTTGAGAATATACAACATTAGTTTTGATGCTCATTTACTTAAGCAGTAGTCTCCCCTCCAGGGGGAGTTCCACTAATATTCTAGTGGGGGACAATCTTGAACATCTTGAAATAATTATTGTATTCCATTCACTAGTAGACAATGTTCTGTCTAACCACCATATTTAATATAGTGAGATCTAGATCTAAAAAAAAAAGACTATTTCTCTGCCATTGGTATTATTATTTACCATGCATTTAGGAGTAGGTATATATTTTAGATGATAAAATCCCTCACATGAGGTGTTACAACAGACCGGGCTTGGAATTTATCTTCATTACACTTTGCAATTTGACTATGCTCAGCTATCGAGCATGTAAAAATACTGACATTGGTTACATTTATGGGTGGCTTAGCCTTTACCATTTATACTAGGTCATGAGATGTTGGACCAGTAATCCCAAAACAGTGCTAGTCTCAGACAGATGCATCTTGTTTTAGTTGGCGTTTCTACTCTTATGGCTAAAATATACTTGAAATATTATTGAGAAAACAGCTACAATGCTGTGAACCTCTAAAATATATGCAGCTATGAAACTTGTTATTGCCCGATCAATGGAACTTAAGGTATAATGCAACTTCAAGTTTACAATAGCTCTTTTTGTAGGGAAGCATTGTGGTTACATCTGGTTTAGCAAGTCTAGTCGGTGACATCATTCATTTGGTGCAAGGTAGGGAAATTTTAAAATATAATAAAAGGTGAATTCAATATTTTCCTTGTCTGGGTAGACAATAAATAATTGGCAGAAGGAAATTAATTTCTGATGTTAATTACACTTCAAACATTTTAGCCTGTACAATAATTCCAACCTTGAGAATCATTCCACTAGGGGGCTCTGCGTCCTATCATTATTGTTTGGCACTGAATTACCTTCTGTCTGATCTTATTTAAATCAGACCAATCAGTGTGTTTCTAACACATATTCATTCCTAACCAGAGCTTCCCCTGATGCTGAGTCCAGAAAGCACATTGTGATTTCTAACAAATTCATATATGATAGCAGCGTTTACAGAGAGAAAGCATGTCAGCCAGGAAAGCAGCTGATTGTGAAGGGAAAAAATAAATAAATGAGTAGATAGAACATCAACCACACAAGAAAAAAGCTACTCAAGAAATGAAGTGTCCTATACATCAACGGCACAAATTAATACAGCCGAAAATTGGAAAACCACCAAGAATAGAAATGACACGCTTGAAATTACAAAGGAGGCTGACTGTATCTATATCTGTATCCCTGAAAGATCTATTTTCCTCCAACCTTAGTTTGGCCTACAGACCCCTGGGGAACTAAAAACGTGAAACTGCCACATCAGTGTGAATTTTTTTTTTTTTTATAGATTTGTTTTTGCAGGTGGACTCTGTTTTCCTGACGCTCAGCGACATATGTATCAAAAGGAGATAATTTGGCAAAATAGAATTAACCTTCATAAGATTCTAATTCATTGTTAGTTCTGTACCAGATTAACTTTCCTATCTAACAAGACATTTTTGGATCTCATGGTGTAACCACCAACAAAGATCACTGAGCAATACAAAAAAAAACATTAGGGAACTTACATCTGTCTTGTGAAAAGTAGATATATTTAATTTATGCATCCTAGCAATCACAATATTGCACATATTCAATATGTCAAATTGATGGCTAGTAATTTATGATTTGATATTTACCACATTCACCTTATAAATTTGCTCAATCATTAGGGATGCTTGTAGATTGTGGTTCGTAGATAGAATTGTTAATGTAAAATTATAAAGGTTTCCTTTTGCATTGTTATGAACACATTTTTCTTTCAAAAGCTATTTGTTCAATTTGAAAACATTTTTTACCAAGCACTATTTTTTAAATGTGTTTCAGAGATTTAAGATCTAAATGTAATGTTTAAAAAGTCCATCAGACACTAACGGTGTATAATGTTTATGAACTAGTTAACAAAGATATTTTTGTGCTGTTAATACATACCTGAGATGTGTTAACAAATGGCCTATTAAAGCAACAATTTCACTTAGAGTTTTTCATAAAGATAGAATCTTCCAGAAAAAAACATTCAGAATGCATTGTGATTTAATTGAAATCCCATAGCACATAGAAAATATATATGAGACCAATAACTTTATGACAAGTGTTAATTTTTGACACAATGTGGCATTGGGAGTGACAGCTAAATGGGAACAAAATGAAAGAGGTCCGGGCACTCCTTGGTTCAAGACAGGTGCTTTATTGGAACCACAGCAGCAACGTTTCAACCCAAGGGTCTTTATCAAGCTTGATAAGGATCCTTGGGTCGAAACGTTGCTGCTGTGGTTCCAATAAAGTGCCTGTCTTGAACCAAGGAGTGCCTGGACCGCTTTCGTTTTACTCTACTATATTGGGATGTGGTGTTTGACCCTGGTACAGCAAGCACCCTGGCTCGGATTGATGGGAGTGAGTGCAGTTCCACACATATTACAAAAAGCTAAATGGGAACAGGAATCTTCTACAATGTGCAGTAGATGCCTACAGCATCCTATTAAATTCACATGAGATTATCTATAACTGAACTTGTGGTCTTGTGGGATAATCCATAGTGTTTTGCACTCTTGCTATGTGTGAGAGTACACCACTGATGCAACTACCACAAGTTACCATAAGTTAAAGACAGAATCAACGAGGAAGATCAAAGAGCTTCACTCATTCTTTAAGGTGAATATATCCACCTTTTCAATTAATCCTGGCTGCTACCTTGAAAACAGACATGTCAACTTTTTTTTGGGGGGGAGTGAGGGGTCTATATTTTCATTTTCCCTCTGATATTTAGAAAGAGAACCATCAAGATGTAATTTACTCTTTTTATAGGGAAAAAAGTGACTCTACTACACATCCATAGTGTTTGGTGTACATTTATTGTTGTTGTTTATCTTTCTGTTGTGTAGTATTGAACATTATGGTATATCCTCCACCTATTTTGAATAGCAGTTTATTTCTGTCTCAGACGTCTATTCACTTAATTTTATTGTTAGGGTTAACTGAGAATCCACTTTTAAAATTTAGAGTATAAAAAAATTTAAAATTGGAAAAATATTCCAACTTGGCTAATGTGTGGAGTTATACTTTACATTGTGTCTAAATTGTGTAACAACAACAACTCACTGATAGTTCATTGTCGACTCATTACAGCCCAATGTCAATGACCCATCACATCCAAATTGTCCTGCTGGAATTGCTAGTTTGTTTGTCCACCCATTGAACTACACTGCGGAATATGTTGGTGATTAATAAATAATAATAATTATGTTGAAATGTTTTCAAAGGCTGCCAATTGATATTATTAGGCAGGTTGAGACAGACGACTGACACTGCAATTATATTGTGGCTGCTGTAATTATCCTCTGGATACATGATTACATATAGATACATGCAGAGAATGAGTAATTGCACATCCCACTCTTCATTAAAATTTGCAGTAAAAGGTTGTTTATGACAATGAACTGTTTGAATTATAGCAATGACTTTGTCTCCCCTCTAATATTTGAAATTAATAATATAACACTCAAATAGATGTTAGTGATGTAATTGTAACCCACTGACAGAAGAATATGTTTTGTTTGTATATAATCAGCAGTAAAGGTAATAATAAATTAACTATTTGGGTTAATTTCTCTATTAGTAGATACTTATGGCATAGAGGAATCACTAACGTCCATTGGTTTAGGGCACCTCAAAAAGGTCGCTTTTCATTATCTACAAGTGGAAACGAGATACATCTAGTCTTTTTCCTGTGCCTCACACGTCCAGCTACAGCGTGCATGGGCGGTGTTTAATAAACATTACATCATTGGAATACTGCCATAATAATTTCATGGCTAACATACAAAATGACAACCAAATGTTTTGTGATTTGTTCTTATGGACAAATAATAGTGTGATGGGTGTGCTAAAGTTTGCTAAAGCATAACATTTATACTTTTATATTTATGTATTATATTATAGAGTGGTGTTCGCACAATGTTTGTTATATATTTGTATGATCTGCTTTCTAAAGCAAACTCATGTTCTGAATGATTTTTCTGGATTTGCTGCATTTTTTAAAAGAAAACTTTGTGGTTCCACAGATTTACAAATTTTCTTTCCCACATATTTACTGGCATCAAGATAGTCATAATTTCCTCCAGGATACCACTGGCTATCCCATCAAAGTGAATGATGTGCATTTAATTTGACTGTCCCTTTAAATGCACACACAAACGACTGAGCAAACTGCATCTGTTGCCTAATTACTGAGCAAAATCTTTCTATAAATAATCATGAAATTTTAAAAATGCAGGTGATCAGAAAACACAATATAAAATATTATATTCCATAAAATGGAATGCATGTACTCCTAAAATGTACTTGAAAAATAATGATGTATATGTGTAGGATTGCCATCAACATTGGAAAACACTCTCATGTTCTCTTTTACTCCATTGATTTTATACAGTGAGATCCACCAAATCCACCTGGTCAGTAAAATAATATTGGTAGGGTTATGTTGTCCTATTTATCATACCTTAGTATATTTCTAGTATTTTGTTTTCTGCGGACAAAGTGTTGAGAGATCTTAAAGGATTTACTAGTTGGGGTTCAGAGCTGACATTAACAAAGGTAGGTACACATAGATAGAGACACATAGCAGCTCCTAATGATTGTTTCCACAAAACAATCTAAAATCCATGCAAAAAAGACATGCAAATAGGACAGTCACCTATTTATGGACCTTGACCAGTAACAGATACGAAATCTAAGTTTACAAGGCTGTCTGTGTTCATTTGCATATCTGGATGGCATTTTGGGTGTTTTGTGAAATGGTCATAAAGAACTGCTATGCTCAGGGCATGCATTTTATTTACATTATGCTGTATGGGGATTACATTTTAGTATATTTTAGAATTCACATCAATCAGTAGGGGTTTCTTTTTACATTTATGTAGCTGTTCCTGTCACTACAACTGTATTAATTAATTATACCACAAAAAGTGCCAACATAAGAAACATCTGTGTAAAGCCAAATCTTAACCTGTGCTGTACTAGAAATTATGTTTAGAATAGCAATAAATTGCCAAGGGAACTACCAGAAACAAAGGCAGCAAATCTAAAATATTTGCAAGGCTGTGTGTATCCATATGCATATTTGTAGGCTTCCTAGTTTTATATGAAGGTATAATTTATATATGGCACTACAATTGGTACTACATTCACTAGAGGGAAGAAAAACCAGAACATGCTGTGATTATTGGGTTGGGTTAGGAGACGATTAAAGGTAATCTGTAATTATCTGGATTTAGTTGAATGTATTGCCTTAGTCTCGCAAGAGAGAAACAGCAAATGCAATTATAAATACTATGTTTCATACAGCAATTCTAGCACTTGGGAGAAATTATACAAATTAACTGCAATACAATTGAATATAAGCTTTGATACATATGCCTCAAAGTGTAATTCAACCATGGTTTAAAGCAGGACTCAAAATTTCCACCCACTCACTAGCCATTGGCAAGTATAAAATAAGCACTGATGAGTAGAAATGTACCCCTGGTGAGTTTGTCATGAACCTTATAGACTTGCAGTGGCAAGTAACTTGTAAGCCTGTCTAGTAGAATATTTCTTAACATTTTGAGCCCTGTCTGAAGCATGGTTTTCTCAAAACATTATTCTCCATGTTCAGTTCTATCAAGCAGTCAGCTGTGGAACTGACCAGCTGGTAAATGGTTAAATTGTGCTCTGTTGTTCATTTAACACCACCTAAAAAATTGGCACAAAGATGATGGCAGTTGCACGTAATGGTTGGATGGCTTCATAGACCTGTAGGCTATAAAATAAGGGTATCAGTCAATCTGAGTCTCTATTTCTAAGGTGGCTTCAGTATTTTGGCACATTTAGTTGGAGCCTGATATCAGATGACTCAAGGAATTGGCACAAAGAAGAGCATCACACCTCCATGACTGAGCTCTGTCAATTGGCACATGAAGAAAAAGAAAATAATAATAAAAAGAACCGGAGCCAGGGATCTTATATAAGCACGATCCAATGGCTCTGGGTAAATGGCACAGGGATACAGAGCCTTGAAACCTCTAGGAATGGGTGTCTTGGGGCAGGACACAACCTTCTCCCTCTGTGTCACAACAAATTCATTGAAAAGTCTATTTAAAAAAAAAAATCTCGACCACCTATTTACAATACTAAATAAATTAACAGTGGGCGGTGTGGACCCGTCCCGTGTTTCTGATGACTGAAGCGGCACCCTGATTTCTCTCCCCTCACATTTAACGTGATGGAAGGACTAATTGGAGGCTAGGTTGACGCTTCCCATTTTCTCCTACTATAACCATGTGTCACCTAGAAGTGAAGATTAATGCCCAAATGGTCTTGTTTTGTGCTAGGATGCTGCCCTCAAACATTTGCTTTCACCACACTCAACCACAAAATGTATTCCGTCCACATACAAAGCATTCTTTCCGGTGTCCATCCAATGATTTTGTAAAATATTATGCTCATTTATGCAAAATCCAAATACCTATGTGAACAATATATTACACGTTTCATCTGCATAACTAAAGTGTACATCATATGAATATTAGCCCTCCGAGTGCCAGTGACATCTTTACAATTTCATCAGTATTGTTGGTACCATCATTTTTTATTTCTTTCATTCAGTTTAAACTTGAATATTGCTTACTTTCAAATGTTTTATTCTACAATTGACCAAACACTGCATATGTGTAATTCTAGATGTCTTGTTGGACAGCTCATGAAAAAAAAATGGTGATGGTAACATGGTACACTTTAGGCTTCCTTATCTTTTATCTCAATTATTACTGAGCTGATCTTTAAAGCAAAAGCATATTTAGTGAGATGTGATGGTGTGGTTAAAAAGAGCTTGCGTAAAAAAGCTTCAGGCTGAAGATGGCTAAAGATTGTTCCTTCATTATGAAGGAAAGCAATAACTACTTAACCCAGATTGGTACTATCTGAATACAGAAAGTGCCATGCTAGGAAGCCCTTGGATCTAGAATTGATTCTTCAAACTCATTGTCTTGATGTCCATATAAATACATTTCTCAAAATGATTATTTTAAATAAAAACACCTTTGGCTGTGTATAGCGTGCAATAAGTACAAGAGCAGAATGAAAAATAACCGCACAGCCAAAAAATATAAAAACTATTTCTAAAAAGAAGTGATTCTAACACTATACTTCTCCAAATTTATTATGGACTGAAAAATTTGACGAAATTAATATTTACCTTGGACAATATTATGTTGGTGTTCCTGAGCTATCATCACAATTTATTTCTTAATGTACATAATAGTGATTTTCTTTTGTTTTAAGCCAGATTAGCTTTCTCATTTGTGAACTTTTATTTTTTTTTTTTTTAAATGAAGTGATTTATTTTGTTCCTAGTAATTTTGGAGAATATTTAGACTGAAAGGGCAGCCTGAATAAAAACAAATGGGTTTGTTGCAGATGAAATAGGAATGCATTTGAGGTGGATGGATGGACAAATAGAGGTCTTTCAACTCTTATCATGCACTTCCATCAGCCAGTGTCTTTGGACAATTTCCACACAGACACACACTAGCACTCACTTGGGCAGTTCCCAGTTATTCTATCTGCAGCCATTATTAAGATTCCTGGGGTTATCTAGATAAGCTGCCCTGTATCCACTTCTGTAACAAGCTAGAGGTTTTCATGGAAGCTTCCTATAATGTAAGCAATACCCTCTTGCATTTCCCCATTTCTAAAATCTTCCCTGCATCACCTTTTTTTCCAAGCTTCACCTATGAGCCCCTGGTGCTACGTGTTCTTCCAGATCTTCGTGTCATTATTTTGGAAGAAAACTCTTGACAATGTCTTTACCAATTATTTCCTCCCTCACTTACAGAGCTCAACCCATTTACCCATGTCTTTAGTAAATAAAAACAAAGAATCCCACCCCCTCCTCTGATGTCAGCTTGGTGCTTCTCCAGGCTGGTATATGAACTCCACATGGTTAGAAATACGAGATGGCCCCAGGAAGAGAAGAAAGATGATGGGTATAGAAAGGCTGCATCTCATGTATTCTGCTCCAACAGCACTCAGGAACACCCCCGTCTTGCTTCACTGTAAGAGAATAACTTTGGGGATTGGGAAGGGGAGAATTTAGGTCCCAGCCCACCTCCCCCTCTCAGACGTCAGATTCAATGCTGGACAACTTCTCATACACATGGCCATTGGTAGAGTTGTTGAAAGATCTGGGGTTCTTATTGTTTGAAACGCAGGCATTGGGTTGGTTCCCTATACAAATGTCTTTTTGGAAACGTCCTGGAGGAGCTGCATGTAGAGCAGTGAGTGATTTACCAGATGCTCGGAAGTCCGACCTTCCCTTCAAGCCACCAATGGCAGGCTGCCTAAAATAGTAGGGCTTGCTCCCATGTAGCAGACACTGGTCATCCCCAAATGTGGGAATAAATGGGTTTTGAGTGACCCGGTCTGGATACAGGGATCGGCTTAGCATATAACCTCCAGGGTTGTGTGTTGAACCATGGGACTTGTTAGCGAAGGAGGACTCATTGGGCATTTCAAACATGTGGGCATAGGGGCTACCATCCAAAAAGCGTTCTTTATCTTTCAAGCTTACACTACGAGGAGCCAAAGTGACATCTTCTTTTTGAAGATCCACAAAAGTGTCATAGGAATGCTGGCGGTGGAGTTTGCTTCGGTTTCGCTTCTGTGCCTTGCCATTGGATGGGCTTTGTGGATACTTTGAGTTAGCTGCTGGGATGGGTCGAGCATCCAAATCCTGCAGAGAGTTGTCCTCACTGATGTCATAAAGATTTCCTGCTTTTTTGCAGACTTCACAACGAATACAAGCAGGACGATTAGTATTCTGCCCTGAATAGTTGTGCATCTTTGAAGGGCAATTACGGCAGAAGTTGGTGGGAGCTCTTTCGTCCCACTCCAAATTAGTCATATTTTTCTCCCAGGCATTTCCTCCAGTGCCATGTTTACGTTCATTCTGTCCAAACTCTGTTGCATGCTTTTGGTGTTGCCTATTGGTGCACGAGCTTTCATGCTTGAAATCGTCTCCTCTTTCTTTGTAGATATCAGTTAGATCCACATGCTCCCAATGGGGGTTGTTCTCCTTGGTCCTAAACTGGTCCAGATAAAAATCTCTCAGCCCTTCTTTGTCCCTGAAGTAGCGCTTGTGATCTGGAGACCTTGGCCGTCTGCGATAAGCCAGTTCAATCTCATCAAATTCCCGACGTGATTTAGCAGATGCTGGTCTCTTTTTTAGACTATCTTTATACTGTTTCCTCCGCTTTGCATTGCCCTCAATGTTGCCATAGGTTACAGTATGGGTAGATATATCAGAAACATCAGACCTAATTAAGTCATCAGGAGCACCATAACGATCACTTTTGAAGGAAAATTTACCATACAGGTCACCTATTTGCGTTGTTGAATGTTTTGATGGTAAACCTATATCCAGAGGTTTCTTGGACAGAGATCTGGGCTGCGTTGTAAATGGAGCATTATCACAGTCATACAACCCATCAATAGAGCTATTGCTCCCTATACTGTGAGGTCTATGGTGATGGAAATGATCTTGGTAAACATTGCTGTCTTTAAGTTGAAGATTACCAAAGGTCCTCTCCACTTCAGAGATGTAGTCACTAAAAAGATTCTCCTCTGGCTGAAACGATTTACAGTCAGAGTGGGTGAAGCTTCGTCTGTGTTCTGAAATATCATACACTGAGGATTCCCGCCGAATGAAATCCAATGCGCTTTGTGGTGAGCCATTAACACCAGAGAGGTTGGCCATATTCTTAGCAGTGCGAAGTAGACGTAGTATGTTGGAGTGGGTGTTGTTCATAGTGGCCGATGGGGAATTCATGGTTGACTGCCTGTCTTCTATTGGAACACCATGAATACAGCTGTAAATACCCTAAAATAACAAAAAAGAAGAAAATCAAAAATGTGATGACAGGAAATGTTCACATTTTAAAAATAATTTAGCATCTTACAAATAGAAGAAACTCATGTCATATAATTTTAGAATTTTTTTATTGGGTTTCATTGATCATAAATCCTTTCCTATAAGGACTACTTATCTCTAGAACCAACTCTTTGCCTTCCTTTCATGTAAAATGTGAATATATATCTAATCCAAGGGATGCTGATTATTTAAAAAAATATATTATTTATTGTGAGGAAAAGGCAGAAGGAAGAGTTTAGAACATGTAGGACCACAAAAAAACACTGAAGTAGAGACACAGAACTTTATTTTTGAAAAAGGCAGATTATAATTAAGTTTCCAAGGCATGATGTTATTTTACACTAACACTAATCAAACATGTCCTCAAAAGGGACATTCTAAGCACTAAAACCATTATATTCCAAATGTAGTGATTGTGCTGCATAGATACTCCCATTTGTTAATCGGGCAATGTACAACACTGTGATTTATAAAACACATAAAAACACAAAACAGGAAACATCCCTATATGCTGGATTTCATCAACCAAGCAAAACAAGAAAACCCCCAGAATAATTTATACCCGCTAGCAAGTTCTACTGAAAGATGCCACGGAATTTGAGTTTTTACACAAGAAATCCAGTACACACATTTTCTGCACTCCCAACGTTTCAAAACCATTTATTTAATTAATGGAGGAAACAATGCATTGTGTTCAAACATTCTCACACTAGGTGATAACCTACTTGTTCTCACTTTTTTTTTTAGTGAAAAGATGAATATACATTGTTTACCATATTACTCTTACTCAACTCTTACTAAATATCTGTTTTTGTTTTGATATAACAGCTTGTGCACATAGATGCAAATATTTTTATTTTGTATTTCACTTATATCATTTTAATTATATCATTAATTTGATTGATTCTTCTTTTCTACTTGTCTCTCATTTTATTCTTATATTCTCTTCTATTTTTTCTAAAAATGCATAAGGAAAAGTACGGACTTCTTTGCCTTATGTATTTTTCTAAATTTGACAAAACTTGACTGAGGAATAGCTTGAGACCAGCTCACTGTCATATACTGAAGATGGCACCAGATAAGAAGATTGTCACGAATACTATATGACCCAACACACAGAACTATGTAACATATACAAACACAGAATAATAACAAAGACAAAGTATACTGGCCCCTAGAATAACCGGACTTAACGTAAAAAGAATAGTCAAAATACAAGCAGAGATCAAGGACACAGAAAGAGTAAGAATGAATAAACTAGCCAAAAGTCAGGAATACCAGAAACCGTGAAGGTCAAAAATACAAGCCAAAGTCAAATACCAAACAATACAAGAACAAGAATGCACTCTCAGATAACCAACTAGTGGAAAACACGACAGGGCACTGATAAAAATCAATCCAGGGTTGAAATATACCTCTGACCCCAAAACATGCGTGCGCGTTGATGACCTGAAGTCGCACGCACGTTGGAGTCATCTTGGTTGTGGACAGAGGTAAGTATGCTATTTATAACAGAACAGCAGTGGCAAGCCTCCCTTAGAACACCGCACCAGCTGGGGACCGTTACACAAGAGGATTGGATGGTGATGCGCCTTGACCCAGTTAAGTAAACTTTATTACTTTTGTCATGACCGTACCAATCAGGTGCGGTCACGCCATTAGGAGATTTGGGCGCCATGACAAAGATCCAGCAAAAAAGCTGAAGAGCCTTCTCAAGGTACAATGGGAACCAATGACTAAAAACTAATTGGGGGACTAGGAAGAGAAAAAGAATCAAGGGTGGACAATAAAATACACATATGCACATGACAGAGCCGAGTAAATGTAAGCCACAATTAATCAAATCTACCCAAAAAACCTCTATAAATATATCCAGCAGAGCTCCCATACATAATGTTCAATCAGCCTCATAACGCCTTGAGTGAAGTGGCCATGTTTGAACAGACACAAGCCATTTTGAAGTAGTTGCTTACAATTTCTATATGCCAATGCACAGTTCAACTTTATGTAACTAACTTGAAGATGACCTACAGGTCATCTTCAGGTGACCAGAAGTTATTTGAATACACCTATATAGAATTCTGTGTGCCTATAGGGATACACAGCACAAACTCACAGCTAATTGAAGTGTGAGAACTGCTGACCAATATAAACTTATTGATTCTGTATTCTAAAACAAAGAATACTGCCAATAATATAAAAAATATTCAAAAGAGTCACTCAATCTTCTCCTGTTGACACCTATTTCAGGAGGAGGATGGCAGGAGATGCTCATGTAAGCCTGCCAAGTTACACTTTTAGCTTCGATGGCACTGCCAACTCAACTTGGTTCTAACTAAGTTAATTTGTATGACAGGTTCGTA